TAAATCAGCATGTGAAGAACCTGATCATAAAATGAACTTTTTATTGTCTAACAAAATAAATTTTAAGGTAAGCATATTTCACTGCAGATTCACATTAGAACAAGAAACAAAGAGGAAGAAAAATGCTTATACATTATATGAAAAATCTAAGGATGATTTAAAAAGAAAAGAGAAGCAATACAATGAGCAAGTTTACCTGAAACAACAACTTGAAAGTACTGTCCGAGCACTAGAATGCAAACTGAAGAGCGTAAGGAATAAACCAAATCAGGTAAATTAGTCTTAATGTGAAAGTTTCATATCTCTAACACTGTTTCATCAATATTATTAATAATATTCTTTTGAATTAATCTATAGTTTCATTTAAAACAAAAGTTATCTCATCCTAAATATGAACTATGACATTTAGAGCTTGATTTACTAATTTCTTGGTGTTCTTCGCATCTAGTAGATGCTCTGTGTCTTTTCTGAATGAAGGAATGGAAGTTAAATTGAGCTTAATCATTAACATAAGGATTGACGGTTTTGGTCCTTCAACAAAGTAACAAGTCTAATTTAAATCCATGTGTTAATTTTGGCTTTTTGAAGTTAAAATCCAGGCTAAATCACCTTGAGAGTATGATGGAACTGGTTAAATGCCTTATAAAGAAATTTTCTGTCACTGGGATTTCAAAATTTGTAGATACTGACAGGCATATGCAGAATAGATAAACAAGATTATACTGTATAGCATAGGGAAATATATGCAAGATCTTGTGGTAGCTCACAAAAAAAAGTCACAATGAATATATATATATGTTCATGTACAACTGAAAAATTGTGCTCTACACTGGAATTTGACACAACATTGTAAAATGACTATAACTCAATTTAAAAAGTGCTAAAAAAGTTTTTCTTTCATGATACTACATCCCTTGTGTTTTTGCTCTGTGATATATTTAGCTGTCATGTATATTAGAATTTGAGTTATTTATGTGCATTAAAGGTCCCTGTGCTTAAAAAGGCTACTTGTTATTAACAGGTTTAAAATTTTTTTTTAAGATTCCCCTCCTAAGCTTTTTTTGACTTTTTTTCATGGTATAAAACCCAAACCCTAATATGTCTTCAGGTTTTAGAAGAGCGAAATGATGCTCAGAGACAACTTTCTCGAGAGCAGAATGCCCGAGTAATACAAGATGAAATCCTGGCCCATCGTCTTTCCCAACAAAAGGAGGCAGAAAAGGCTAACAAGAGAAAGAATGCTGAGGTATTTTCTTAAGTCATCTTCAAACGTGTGTGTGTGAATTTGTATACTTAACGTAGTTTAAAAACCAATCCTGTAGGTACAGAAAGTATAGAGGGTTTTAAAAGCCTATATATGTAAATACATTTTCTGGAGGTTTCATTTCCGGTCTGTTGGATAAAGCAATATTTTGAATTCAAATCCACTTGCCGGCAACAGTGATGTAGTGACATTCACAATGGCCTCATCCAAGGAGAGGCTGTTAATATTGTCCATAGGAATTGATGAACTTTCCATTATCTCAAAACTGTTGCTACTAACGGCAGGCATTCTAGTTTCTGGCAGTGATCTCACTCCTTTGATAGACGAATGGAGAGGTTACTTTATCATTTCCACTGATGGTAAGGAGGAAAAAGTATAGCCAGTTCAGAAACCGTAGTTTGGGTGTCATTCTCCTACTTGTGATAAAAAGTAACGCTCTGTTCCATGTGGTATCCGATTTCAGTACAAGGAGCTTTCGAATATAGTGATAGATATGCCATAATCTATAGTTAGTGATAATTTATTGATCAGTATTTTATTTTTAATAAAACAGTTCACTGTATTTCCCTGCTATTTCACATCCATTACTGTTACAAACACCATGAAGAAGAAATAAAAATTATTGCAGAAGGAAATAGTCTCCTGATTTTCTAAGAGCTCTGTAAATTTGACCTTCTTTACCTTTAGTGTATTCACCATTAGGGAAATAGAAGGCGTCTCTTGTGTTTATGTATTTATCCTAGAGAAGTAGCTTTGGTTTGGTGTAAGAATCAGAGAGTCAGAAGCCCTGGGGAAAACCCTGCAGCTTGCTTGTGTTTTTAACCCTTCTAAATGAGTTAACTGATGTTTGTAGACGTTCTTAGTACTGTGCTTAGATTTATCATTTATCCGTAGATGTAATTCTTATAACTCGCTCTAAGAATGTTAGAAAGGGAGAATATTTATGGAATATTCTCAGGAAAGAATGTTTTAGGAAATCTAACCTGTCCCAATCTATACAGAGCTAAGGCTCTTACTTTGGGGGTAGCTGTAAAGGTTAGATGTCAGATACAATTTTTAAGTGTAGTCAGATTTATTCATTTTTTATTTTAAGCCTTTTGGGTTTGTTGTATTTCAGAGAAAGAAAGGCCTTTCCGATTCTGAGCTTCTTAAACATCCTTTTGTGGTTTCTTTTTTACTTTCATGGATTCACTGTCTTTAATTAAATTTTTGAACTTTGGGGGATTTCTGGTTGTTTAAAGTTTGAGATTTGTATCCACCTTAAGTTTTTCCAGTTGGATACCCAGTTACTGCACGCTTTTTGTTGTATAAACTTAGAGATTAGTCTTTCACTTCAAAGGAAATTATGATATGTCAGTTTATTGCGTACAGTTCAAAGAGTAAGAGATGAGGGGTTTCACTTACAGGACACAATGGATTTTGAGCTGTCTGACCCAAAAGATAGCAGCGAGGTGCTTCCTCAGCAACTTCCTGAAGCTGAACGTCAATTCCGTGGCCCAGAAATTGAGCTCCATCCCAGGAGAGATGCTCTTAGACCAACGACGTTGGTATTAGAATGTGTGCACAGAGACCGAGGCCAAGCCCAGCGTTCAAACAAGGAAACTGAACCCTTGTCTCAGAGCAAACAAGGGGACGTCATCAAATACATTGCAAAGCAGGCATTCTTGAAGGAGACAATATGTAATCTACAAAGTGAAAACACGTTGCTTCGACAGCAACTAGAAGTTGCTCGAAATGAAGCCAGAAGTGAAAAGACAATACTTAATACTCCAGAGCCATTTCCGGATCACATGGGAAAACTTGAAGCCATGAGCAGACGAGTTCTGATGCTGGAGGAAGGAAACAAGGAGTTAATTAAAGAATGCAGATGTTTAAAGGACAGACTGTGTCAGTATGAAACGGACAGAGCAGAAATGGAAGTAAGTACCCAGAAAGGGAATTTATTTTCAGACTTCCTCAAAGAAAATTCAAAGCAATATCTGATGGAAGCTGAACGTTGAAAGTAGTTGAATATAAAAAATGTGTGGGCTATAAATGTATACACTGTAAAGCAGCCTAAAGGCATTTCTTGTATGCAGCAAACAAAAATTAGACCTGAGAGGTGCTTTACTTTGTGTAAAGATGCTATGTCACCTGAAATTCTAAGAGATTAAGCTATAAGCTGTTGACAGATACAGGCAGGTCTTAGTAATTTATACTGCCCAAATCATTTTAATCTTTCTGTCACCACATTTTAGTATCGTGAAGCAGATAAATGAAATGCTCAGACCTAAAATGAGTATTTTGAAATTAAGATTCAGTTGTGTGAATAAAAAAAGTAAACAAAAACAATAGAGAGAGAGAAAAGATTCAATTGTGTGGATTACCTTGACAGTTAATGTGTAAATGCTGTATCTTGCAGTACTTTTCCTTCAGTAGCTTTTCATACATTTTTAGTTGATATAACTTTATTTTTATTCATGTCAATTGGAATTAAATTTAGAAGTACTTCCATCTCAAATCACGTATTGTTATGACCTCTCCACTCCTTAAAGGCATCTACATATCATTCAGTCGTAATTTGGGACAAATGTAAATTTTAGCAAAACTGTGTTTGACTTAGTCTCCCCTGTTCTATTTATAATTTACTTTGAACACTTTTTCAAATAATGTGCTCACAGTTCTCATTGCAAGGCTCAGTTACTGTCATTTGGATCTAAGTTTGTCCAGTACAGAGGAACTGGGGCACTCTGTGATGTACGAGTTTGGCACTGGGGTCCCATTTTCAGACTGAGAAGGAGCAGCCAGAGTCCTGAGTGACAGGAAGAGAGTGCGTGGGAGGGGTGGGGGGAGCTGTAGGAGCTGCAGTCCAGGAGGTGGGGGAGGCCAGTTTGTCTCAGGTCCCCAAAGGCCATTGGAATATCGTTTTTATTGTGAGATGGGAGTCTGTTGGAAGGATTTAAACACCAGATTGAATATGTGAAGAACTCTGAACTTAAGCCTCTAATGAGAAAGAGGGAGAATGTTCCACAGTGTGGAACTTACCACCACTCAGCCCACCCGCACACCCCTTTCTGTCGGAGACTTCAGTGGGGGTGAAGCTCGGCTGCTTCCTGGGAGGGGCAGGGAGTGGCTGGTGGGGCTGCCTCCATTGTCTAAGTTAACTTACTGTCAGTAAGGCAGGAGGGTCACGCCTTCTGTGTGTTTAATGAAATTCAGTAAACAGGAATGTGTGCCTATGAGGAAAAGAAGGTGAACTGATGTCTGTGGGGATAGTTCTCAAAGCCCATTTGTTGGAGTTATATATTATTAATGTAACTTAATGATAAGGTGACTGAAAATTCAGTAACAGAGTTACCTTTTTAGGCCCATATGAGACAGCTTCAGCAAGAACTGGCTGACACCCGAAAGAAAGTGTCCATGTTGGAAGCATCCCTGGAGGTGACAGCACATCATCAAACTAACTCAGAAAATAAGAGACAGGATGGAGAGAGGAAGCCACATCAAACTGCCAACTCAGTATGTATGAAATTCAGCACGTCGGCCGTGAACGTGCAGCGCAGAGTGTTGCAGGACACTAGCTTTTCAGGGAGAGTTTTCTTTTGCATCTTCATTATAATTTCACTTTTATTATCTTTATAATGCACTTGTTTCTTAAATGTTGACTTTCATTCTGCCGTTCTTTATTTTTTTTCTTATAATATTTACCCTTAGAGAAGTTGAGAATTATACCTCTTTCCTCACAGAAGTTAACTTTTTTATCCTATTAAACAGTATGTTTTAGTGATCTCTCACCAGAATGAGGCAAGCTAGATAAAATCAGAGGATAATGTTTCCTGGAATGTT